TTGTTTTGCAGAAGGTCCACAAGACAGTAAAAGGTATGATTTGCAAACCTCTTGTAAGAGCATTGTACTTTGATGATATTCTAACAATTTCATGTTGTTTGAAAATAGGTGCAGCATGTACTAGGAAGGAAGCATTTATATCCGCTGGTGTTGTGCAACATCTTTTCCTAGTCCTCACCCCTCAGTGCACTGCTAAAATCTAGATTAATCTGTACCAACTTGCTGAAGTTTCGATTCTCTTGAAGCATTTGTAATTGCTCACTTTATTTTTCTGTAACAAGCTCAGTTATGAATAATAGTTGCTTTACTTTCATTCTATACCAGCATTTATACAGCCGGCCCAGGAATCAGGTGCTGTCTGTGTGTTTCTCGTTACTACAGTGGTGCAGTCATCGAAAGGCTTTGGTGAACCCCAGCTCTGACACGTCTTTTGAGGGCCGTTGTGCCACTTTCCTCGCTGCCGGAGCCTACCAGGCCGCCATCCTCGCAAGTATCGATCCCACCAGCAGCGGTCAGCGACCAGGCCTTCGTTGTGCTGTCGCGAAACTTGTTCGGTGACACTATTTCACGCAAACAATGCACACGGGCTCTTCATGCCTACGGACAGTGAACATGCCTCCTCGATACTTGGCAACCTGTCGGCACCTCAAGCACCATTCGTTAACGACGTCCAGGCCTCCTCCGCGGCTCAACACCGCTTCATTGACGCCACAGTGCCAGTTCACGACACATCACATGGGTTCCACTTGTCTGGGAAGATTGTTGGCATTTCCAATGGTATGAATCTCATGTCCACGATTCTGACCAATGCTTCGTTTTCAAGGGATGTCATGCATGTGTACTTGGTCATTAATTCTACCACCATGAAGACCATAGTCGCTGTATCCTATGCAGATGCTGGCCCTGTCTCTCTAACCAGATCATGGGACAGCGCCGCAGAGCTGCAGCACACCATAGCTTATCTCTGCATCACGACTAATGCTTTAATAGCATCGAGTTCGAAACTGTGCCAATATTCTACGCACTCAGTGCCATGTTGGCTGCGTTCTTGAGGCCAGCCCACCCAAGAACTGCAGAAAGCTCTGGCGTTCCCTCACGGAGCTCTCAGACCAGCTTAGCTGCTTGCCATCGGCACACTCTGGGTTCTTACCTGCGGCTACACGATCGTCAGCTGTTTGGGCAGTGCAGAGGTTTCGCAGCTTCCAGGACGACGTCTTTGGTTGGATAGAATATGTCAACTTGCTCGGCATCCTCCACGCCTGGCCGGAGCATCGCAAATGGCTCATTGCCATCGACCACCTCCATGATGCTGCCAAAGCATGGCATGCCTACGAATGCATCTCACAATAATCCTGCAAAGAATGGTGTGCGAAACCGACAAGTGTTTTTCGACCTCTTCTTAATGCTTGCAACCACTTTCTTGCCGTCCAAGTGTCTACCACTTACGAAAGCTGCAAGGCAGACAATTTTAATGGTGCAGCCCTTGAAGGCACCGATGTGCCCTCAAGCCCACGCGAATACTCTACAAGACAGCTCGCGGAAGCGCGGGCTGCACTTCGCTGCCAGTCTCCGCCTCTGCACCTTCCTGACGTAATCGCATCACAAAGCAAAGTCAATGCCACTACTCATCCAGCGCAGTTGGAGGAGCGAGCTCCTGATTTGCCGTCGCAGGAACGTGTGCAGTTCGCCGGCTCCAGTCGTGCATGAAAGTCTCCAGTGCAGGCACCGGAAAAACCTATTGCTTCCATTGCCAAGCTCGTCGATCCGCTGGAGTGCATCATCTCCAATGTGCCACTGTTTAGCAAGAAGGTTCTCTGAGACCAGTGCACTAATGTTGCGACAACACTAATCGAGCGGTGTGTTGATGAGCCATCTTTTTCAAAAATGCCTAGTTGGGCCTCTCACTCAATGCACCCAGTGTGACGCAAGGAGTGCCTCCGCATCTTTTGGACAACAATGAAGAAAAATACGATCTCTGTGATTAGCGTCAAGAATGTGCCTGAAAAAAAAAAATTGTCAGTTTCCTTAGAGCCACGGAAGATATTTTTCGATGAAAGACCTGACTTTCCTGATAGCAGCAATGATCCGGATGCAAACAGATTTCAGGAATACTTGAGACAGACACACCGAGGAAACATGCCAACCAAGTTGACTGTTCAGATGTGAATCCAGCACTTTCCTCTTGGCTTGTTACTTAGCCGATGCCTGCAGCCTGATCGGTGGTCAACAGATGGTGTAATGTTGCTGAGTGGCCGAGGTCGACCGCCTTCACACAGCCAATATCCCGCCACAGAATGTCTGGCAGCTAGGCAAAGCGAGTCATGGCCTCCACTGGACCAACCATTGGGATACAGTAAGTTCGGCTCGCCAGAAACAACATTGGCACCTCATCCAACCAAGCCACTGTGCGGCCGCAACAGACCGGCATATCAAAGTCAACACTACCCTTCAGAGGTGATTTTGCAGCTGGCCTTTCCATGTCACAGCGTGACCAAGTGTAAGGAAGCAAAAGCGGCGCTCCAGCAGTTGCGCGAGTTTGGCTACCGAGAAGAAGAGAAATAGGAAGTCAGATGAACAGCCGGCCGGCAGGAAAGCATTGTCTCTTTGTCTCATTTTTCTACTACAGTAGACTCTCTATAATTCAAACTCTGATAATTCATACTTCTAGTTAATTCAGACAAAAGTAAATTTTTTGGTTGGCGCTCACTCTTTCAGTGTATTTAAAAGTTTGTTAATTCAAACTCCTTCATTAGGTCAATTCATACTTTCTGCAGGTTCACACAAGAAAAAATCTGCTTTCCCACTAGTATTTAAAAAAATTGTGTGCCTAAGTAATCCTAACAGTCTAAAAATGGCAGGTCGCAGGATCAAATTCCGGCTGCGGCGGCTGCATTTTCGATGGAGGCGGAAATGTTGAAGGCCCGTGTGCTCAGATTTGGGTGCGCATTGATGAACCCCAAGTGTTCGAAATTTCCGGACCCCTCCACTACGGCGTCTCTCATAATCATATGGTGGTTTTGGGACGTTAAACCCCACATATAAATCAATCAAATCAGTCTAAATTTGAAAAATAAGCACCTGAGGCCTTCAATGAAAAAGGCTTTGCAAAAAAACAAATGTTTGAAACGACGCACACACATTGTAAACCGTGATGCTTATCAACTCGTATGGAGAGCTTTTGCTGAAGGCACATGCCTATAGCAGTGAAGTAGTTGGCAATTTACGATTTCTTTAAAAGGTCTGATCAGCAGTAAATGGCTAATAAAATGTGGACTTTACACCTCTGCTTTCTGTTTACCGAATGCAGTTTAAGATTAGGAACACTTAGAAATTTTTTAAATGTGATAAAATCTTGCCTAGTGATAAAATGTGTGGTGTCACCTCACCCAGATTCTGATGGAGGCGGAAATGTTGTAGGCCCGTGTGCTCAGATTTGGGTGTATGTTAAAGAACCCCAGGTGGTCAAAATTTTCGGAGCCCTCCACTACAGCGTCTCTCATAATCATATGGTGGTTTTGGGACGTTAAACCCCACATATCAATCAACCTCACCCAGAGTCATCTATCTGAGAAATTTGGATAATTCAAACTAAATTCAGAGGTCCCTTCATGTTTGAATTAAGTCGAATATATATATATATGAGATCTAACAGACAGTAATGTTAAGGAATGTACAGGGGAAGTTATTAGAACCAATGGAATGTAAATAAGAAGAAAGAAAAGTGGATGAAAAAATAACCAGCCGTGAGCAGGAGTTGAACCTAGGCCCTTCGATTCCTGCTCACGGCTGGTTATTTTTTCATCCACTTTTCTTTCTTCTTATTTACATTCCATTGGTTCTAATAACTTCCCCTGTACATTCCTTGGCATTACTGTCTGTTAGATCTCATTAATATTGTGTTAAAACATGGAAAAACGAGCCCTTAGGTATACACTTCTTTCCCTTATATATATATATATATATATATATATATATATATATATATATATATATATATATATATGTGTGTGTGTGTGTGTGTGTGTGTGTGTGTGTGTGTGTGTGTGTGTGTGTGTGTGTGTGTGTGTGTGTGTGTGTGTGTGTGTGTGTGTGTGTGTGTGTGTGTGTGTGTGTGTGTGTGTGTGTGTGTGTGTGTGTGTGTGTTGTCTGGTGTCTTCTCAGAAATAAGAAAAAAAATATTTCAATGCTGCCTTTATAATTGCTTTGCCTGTTGCAGCAGACGTCTTGAGCTGAGTAGAGGCACCACTCATGATAGGAATTCAGTTAACTACACGGGGCTAAACTCGGGGACAAGTTTTCGTGGCATGAAGGGAAATCTACGGGGGCGGAGCTGCTGCACATGTACTCCTCTGCGAAGTAGTCCGGCTAGACCCGCTTTCCAAATGACAGTCGTGTTCGAATAATACCTCAGCGTAGAACTTGCTGCGTCTGCTAACACAGCCATTTGTGAATGACATTCGACACAAGCTCCTTGGGCGAGGCGTCGAAATAGCTGGAGAGAGACGCGCACTCACCTAAAGACGAAGACACCATTTTGACTATGAGAGAGAGAGAAACTTTTATTTTGATTTTGACTATGAGGCGCATGGAAAATTTACTACGTTTTCGGACTTGCAAAATGCGAAATAAAACTTCGTAAGGCAAAAGAAATTATAATATCTCCTTGGTTATATCAGGGTCTCTTTATAAACAGCATCCTGTAGAAAAATAATGTTGTTCTTTATGTTTTTTGCATGCAAAACAGATGCATTTGTGGAACTATATTCTTCAGCGATGGCACACACCCACTTTGGTTCTGTAGCCTTCATTGCCACAAAAAGTTATCCGATTATAGGGAACATTGCAACTGTAATTACTGTTAGACAGGCACCGCTGCCACAACTGATGTTAGGCAACCGTACATGTAATACATTTATTTATGATTTTTATTGCATGGCTTCTGGCTAAGGCCCATTATTTCACATTTTATAATGTTCGTCTGCTACATTAATATTGCCGCTGTAACCAACGGTATGTCTTTTTATGGGTGAACCCAGGCAAAGTTTCTCATAAAGTTAGGAAAATCTATTTCACTGTTAATGAATCTATCTAGACTGCGAATCATCTGTGGTGCATGCTCACACACCATGGGCTATGGTATGCAGATATGTATCACACATTACTGTGAGAATAGGTTTATGGCATACATTACAGCATTTCATGTTATTTGCCATGACCCGAGGTTTTTCACCTGTTTGCAAAGTGCTTAGTTGGGTTTTCGACAAGTTGCTGCACATTATATTTGGTCAGGTAATTGAATAAACAGATATGCAATGCTCCTAGTCCTGCAGTTAGAGATTCTGGCAATGCATGAAGTTCAAAGCTGTGATTCTGAGCATTCAATGCTGGACATACTTCATAACGCAGTTCAAGGTGCAGATCTATGACATGTCTGGCTGGTGGTGCTTAGTGGGGCCAATCGGCAAAAAATAAGGAATAAAATTAAAATTAACCTTTTCTGATTATTCTGCCAAATTGTTCATATTCATGGCTGATAAGACATATGTAATGTAATTTTCGAGCTGTAATATTTCTTAGATCTGGTTTAAAACTTATGTGTTCCAAAATTTCGAATAACTTTAGTGCTTTTCAGGTCAAGGCAAATATCAAACTATCCGAATTCAACGTTTAAAGTATCGAAGATTTGCTCGCCCCTAGTATTTACTTAAGAAGTAATCACTCGGCTACTAAGAAATGTAGTTTATTACAGGTAAACTTTTTTGCGAGTCTGGTTGATACACAGGGGCAAAAGCTTTTGTGGGTGGGCTGTGTGCATTCGGGCCATCTTTAACAGCATTCTCTCTCCGTTTGCAGATGTGTATCCATTCCTTCTATCCATTCCTTCTATGGAGCATCGTAGAAGTCGCATGCTTCCGAGATTTGCACAAGGCCGACAAACCAGCCTCTTCACAAATATCGCACATTTGTTAACTGTTATGCAGCTCTTAGATTGGTTGTGTACTTTAGATTGTGACAGTGATGTGATCATGTTTACTGGCTGCTACGTCTGATGCCTCTGGTGCGCAGCTAAGAAAAATATTTTGGGCACGGTACCGCGGCACTTTGTAAGGGTGAATTGCTATTAGCACTGCAGCTTGCTTATTGCACTTCAAAATAATGCATATTAATGGGTCATTTACAGTTTGCATATTTAATGTGTAACTCCCTGTAGAAAGTGTGTTAGCTTTTTCTTGGTGCATCTAGCTTTTGTTTGTTTTTTGTTCTTATGTCGTGCTTTCAAATTGACGTGATATGAAAAGAAACACCAGCCTACCTACTTGAATCTATTTTTCTTTCCTCTGTTGCTCTAACCAAGGAATATGATTGTTCCTATATGCAGCTGTATTCTCTACCACCATGAAACATTGGAGCATGTTTACATCGATGACCATTTTTTTTATGAGACCTTTTTTGTATGTTAGAATAATTTGGTTGTGTTCTTACATTTCAATATCAGTTGGTGCTTTTGGTATGCTTATCACAAGAATATTTATATACTTAATTTGCATGGTATTGTGCGTTTTCCAGTGGGAGAGATTGAATGAGCTTTGATTATTTAAAGGGGCCCTGCAACACTCTCTGAGCATAGTCAGAAAATGCTGCCGATGGGTGGTAGAGGTACCAAGAGGCAATTATTTTCGTGAGGCAATAAGTTATTTTAGTGAATTATCGATAATATAATCCATTCATTATCGATGCGCCATACCTCAATCTATATACGAGTTTCTCCATTGCTGCGCCACTACACAACTGGCATTCATCTAACGTCAATGTGCACTTAAACTTATGGCAATGCAAGGAAAAATGCTCACCTTCTGATCTCTTTTTTTAAATCACAGAGAGAGTACATGCACGCCGAAGTTCAGTGAATACACAGTTGTGCCGGGACCAAAACGATGAAAGACATTTAATGATTGAGGCATGACATATTGACAATGGCGGTAGTGCATGTGTGAGTAAACCATCAATTGACTTGTACAGTAAACCCAGATTATATGAAACCTAAGAAGGACTCGTAAAACATGTTCCACTTAACAGGAGCCCCGTTCCGTATACTTAGAGATGAGCAGGGTTGTAAAAGACAAGGACAAAACCAATCACATTGGGGCAGTCATTTCATTTAAGCAGCAGTTCCGTTTACCAGATTTGCATTTCTAGTGAGTCTAGTGTATGAATCGGAAACCAAATGCCTTAACAGTTATATGTAACAACTCCCCCTCAACATGTGCACGAATAATAGGTTCGTCTATTGCCTGGGCATGTGCAGATAAGTCTCCATGCGTCCTTCTTTTTCCGTCAATGCGCAACTTTGTAGTTGCTAGACGATATTCGTGGTGTCTTGATTTTATTCTTACATATGTGCTTGCATGCCCTGTCTTCAAGAATAAATATTTGCCCACTAGCTCAGCTCTTTTGTTATTCTGTGCTTGTTTTAAAGTGTGCCGGTCTTGGATTGTCGTCACAAAGCTCTAACCATTGGGAAATTGTGCCACTTTTCTCTACAATTATCGAGAGGACAATCAACGAACTTGTTCTTTTGTGAATCACTGTGCATTATTTTGCATGAAAACATTCTGTAAGATCGTCTTTCTTCTTGTACACCAACACGTTCATCAAGCCAAATAAGCAGATCCTGCACCTTCCATTGCACCATAATGGCAATCTGTGATGTTGATTGCTGGTGCAAGCTCCGAAAAGCATTGCAATGATGTTTTGCATCGATTTCGGTGTTTTCATCACTGCTCTTCACTGCTCCAATTTCATAACACCAATGACATCAAGCATGATCTTGACATAAGTGCAGCCAAAAACATCTACACTGTCATCAGCATCAGTGAAGTTGTTTGCTATACTGCTATACCAGATTGTTCCTGGGGTCACCATTAACTAAAAATTCCTTGAGGCACCACTGTCCTCAGTCATAATGCAGGCTAGATCGTCACCTGGCATCAAAGCTTGCTTCATGAAAATCGTTCGTAATGTCGTTTGTGGAGGGGGCCTCCATGTCATTTGATGCACCAGTGTTTATCTCCGTTTATTTTCATTTGTTCGAGGAGGTTAGTTGTCAAATCAGTAGCTAAGTGAGATGTGCACAAGCTGATACTTCTTAGTACTGCAAGAAAGACAAGTAAGCTATGGATAAACATCCTTTGGCCTTTTGGTGATCACACTCGTGGCCTTCTTGTAGACAATACTGCTCTTGTCCGGCAAGCATAGGAAAGAATCTGTCACGTGCAGCCAAAGAAAGCATGGCCTTAGAAGTCTGTCCTTGTTAACTGAAATGCTGTTATGAGGCAGTAGATGTTGAAGGCTATGTTTGGGGGCCTGAATGTCATTGTGGTGGAACAACCATATGTGTGGGCTCATTGCGTTGCTTTTCAAGCAGTACTTGTGTGCAAAGAGCTAGGAACATGTGCAAAACATTTGTTGGTGCAGGTGCGCATGTTCCACTTGAGTAGGATATGGTTAGTGTAGGCGAAAGTCATTGTAAAGTACAGCAGCAGTTTTTAATTTTTCTGGTGCGTCAATTCAGTTGCACCTTAGTGTTTCACACTGTTTTCATTGCCTTCTTGTTCTGCCTGTGTCTTTGCAGGTTCCTTGCCTTTGGAGTCTTCTGAAATATACGATTCACTCGTTACGGTAAAAGATGGACTGCATTCTTGCCGCCTGTGCACCTTTACGAGCAGGATAAGACGAGTAATGAGAGTGCACCTTCGCAAACACACAGGCGAGCAACCCCCCTCTCACCCGTGCCACTTGTGTCCTGCTATATTCAGTCACGACTGCAACCTCAAGCGGCACTTGCGCTCTCACATAGGGGAACGTCCCTTTTCCTGTACGCACTGCACTTCATCCTTTACGCAGAGATGCCACCTGAAAGAGCACATGCGTATCCACACAGGAGAGCGTCCCTACTCCTGTGTCTACTGCCCTGCATCCTTCAAGTCCAAGTACAGCCTCACGACACATTCGCGCAGCCACACAGGAGAGCGTCCTTACTCGTGTGTGTATTGCCCTGCAACCTTCAAGTCAAGAAACTGCCTCACGATGCACTTGCGTATCCATACAGGAGAGCGTCCCCATTCCTGTGTCTACTGCCCTGCAACCTTCAAGTCGAAGTACAGCCTTACGATGCATTTGCGCAGCCACACAGGAGAGCGTCCATTTTCCTGTGCGCAGTGTGGTTCAACCTTTAAGAAAAAGCACAACCTCAAGAAACACATCCTTCGTTGTCCTGCAACGAAGAAATCTTGAAGATCAATGGTGCACAACTATATTTGCGGGGGGAAGAGAAGAATTGATTGATTAAACTAATTATTATGGAAGGAGGCAACCTCCCATTGCATAAAACTGTTTTTAAATACCTTTGAAATATAGCTTCTCACAGTGTATTCATAGTTAATAAAGGTTTCTTGAGAAGGTCTTGAACCACCTGTCATATGTGAAAGCTCTTTGAAACGCTTATGACATCCCGCTAAGACATATACTTGAACAAATTCGTCAAAAAATGTAAGAACAAAATTATTGGGACTACTGCATTACTGCTTCCTATTCTTTTCTCTCAGCATGACTCTTTCCTACAAAAAAAAAGAAGGCTTTGAAAGGGCAGCACTCTTAGAGGCACCCTCCCACAGCGGTGTGTCACTCGGCTTTAATGTTGTGTTATTTTCTTTCTGTGCAAGTTCACAGTATTGATTGGCTAAGTTGGCAGCTCGCACTTGTGGTTGTCTTCCTCTCCCTGTGAGGGCAGTATGGCTGTCAGGCAGGCATTTTACTGCCTTAGCTTCTGTTCCTGTTCATTCATTGCATGGTTACAGTCTTGGAGACATGTACACTTATGTAACTAGACATGCGTGTCATGCTTCATGCATTCTTTTACGTTCTGTGTGAGGCTTATCTGTTCTCAGTCGTGCACATGCATCAGCAGCAGAGATCTTCAATTCGGGGCATGGCCTGATAAGGGCGTTTCAACGCCCACAGTGACACAACACGAAGGTGTACGATAATGAAGGAATCAGATCTTATTATTACAGTTTAGAATCTGTTCAAGTTAAATCTGGGCCCTGCTACTGTTTCGAATGGTAACAGCATGCAGCGGATGCGAGGTGCTTCTGCTGTCTTTCTTGTTTTTTTTTTCTTCTTGGATGTTAGGTAGAAACACTGTAGCCAAGAAGGCATAATATTGAGGAGACTTGATGGAATGATAGAAAGACTTGGTGGGTTTTATCTCGTTAGCATTGTACCAATTAACCATGAGGCACCACTATATTCGCAATGGTCTGAATGCTGTAGTGTCAAGCTTTTAAAGCCATATTCTCCAGGAATTCAGGGGTCATTATTGTCAGTTTAGGTCAGTGGTTCTCAAATGGGGGTCCGCGTAGCCATTTCTATTATAAACGAAACCCTCACCCGCATTTTTCTTTGACTGTGCTGCATATTGATGAACTGTCAAAAATAAAGTAATGTGGCTTGCTTTGATGTTTTTGGTAGCAAGAAAAAGCACCTGTTTCACGCTCCAGTTGTGTTAATTTGCCTACGTACCCCCCTTCCTCCCCTTCACTGCAAAGGGTCCCCCATCGCTTTCAGCAGTTCACAAGGGGTCCCCAACACATCCGTGGCTGAGAACCATTGGTTTAGGTTGTGACTGCTGGGTTGATCGGTTGTCAGCAAAAAAATCAGCGTTGTCCGCCAGCAAAACTTCAAAATAAATACAAATAAATAATAAAATTATCTTTAGTTTGAATGAGAATTAAACCCATCTGTGTGCCAAGCAGGTTTTTCACAAGGTTTTATGGTAAAATATGCCTGTCACAAAAGTTGCCTGGGCTTCACATGTGCTGCACATAATGTTCTAAAGTATGCCATGAAAAGGGATTTTTCCAATGGCATCAAGGGCGAACGTGATGTAATTTGTCTCAAAAAATGGTACGTCGATCATGAGCACACATGCGTAACTTAGCCTTTGTAAGCTTGAGCTGTAGGTATATGAACCACGGAATGGAGCACCCGGACTGCATGTCGGACCGTTATTGTGTATATGTTGAATGACTCACCATGAAGGTGACTGACAACAGAATCCACAGGACGTTGCATCCAGGCTGCGCCATGTGTCTGCATGGCTGGTGCGCTTTGTGTGCGAGTTGCTTGTTTGCCAGTGAGGTTCACCAAAAGTGAAGTGTGAACCACAAAAGCAACCAGTGCATGCGTGACAATTTCAAAGATGCATAAAAACTACACTGGAAGTTGGGACCGGCACCCAGCAAACCTTATAAAAAGCAGTCCGATGCCATACCTCCGACAGTCTGCTCAATTTCAGAGAACAAATTGATCCTAAGAAACTCTTGGGAGATAGCACAGCGAATAACACGCCCAGAAAACCAAAATTCCTGTCTTCATGGAGCTGCCGTCGACCCGTCTTGCCAACCTCAAGGGTCACCTATAAACGGCGCCGATGTTGAAGGGCTCGGCTGCGCCCGGTTACGTATGTAATTCGCTTTAACTTAGTAGAGCACGAATGCTATTTATTTGTTCAGCTCTTGCTGTTTGACCATCCATCTGTTATTGAGCATTGTCTCTATGTACTATAACATTCATGCATGCTTCAGTGGTATCGTGAAATGCAGGCTTTTGTGAGTAGTGAATTTTAGGTTCAAAGCAAATAGACGTCAGACTCTGCCCAGGTGGCGCTGCGAAAACGACGCCACCAGCGCCCCCGTTGCCGCGTCGGCAATAATTGGGTAGGGCACAGAGAGCGTCCGCAAACAAACGTGCGCAGGCCCTCCTCTTTCGTTGGTCATCAGGCGCGGTTTCCTGAAAATCAAGGACCTGTCAAGCTTCTTCCTTCAATCCAAGCTTGCTTCATAGAACTAGGAAGCTCATCAAAAGGAAATGCGGACAAAATGCTAAATATGTTTAATTTATTTCGGCGTGCTGCACTTGGCAATTTAAGTGCGAGTGAGCATTCCATGACATCTAGTTCGAGGCAAGCACTAAATCACGACCTCCTCTATAACACTAAACTAAGTGCATACACGAAGAATCTATGCGATCAGTGATAGGAAGCTCGCTTTATCCAGCACGAATGGCCCTGGTGATTTTCGCTTTGCAGTTGCATTCTTGTTTGCAATTGCATGCTGTGCATTGAAGTGTTTTATTAGGCATGTTCGAATACTCTGTTTACAGTTGTCTTCCGTGTGTGTATACTGCGAATGGGGACCAACGACAAAAAAAAAAAACTGTTTGTGGTCGCGATTATTTTGCGATTTACCTGTATGACCCACGTGTTCGCATTTCCTAGTTAAAGCTGGCACTTAGAGCCTTCAAAGCCCTAGTGTGCGTAATGCTGTGTGGTGGCGATAACTTCAGATTATTGGTGGTTGCAGAGTGTGCGATGTTTATCGCGGCCGGGCGTCACCTGTCTACTGTTGCACCTCGCGCACCTAGGACAGAGGGTCTGTTATGCTTCATAATCAAGGTTAACACGATTCTCCGTCAAGACTACTCAAAACAATAACAGGAGACCTACATTATCACACTTACTCAAGCGAACGGCTGTGGAGAACGCGAGTATTGACATACCCAACACGTTCGCTACGGTCTGTATGTAGCGCTCTCGCCATTCTGCTTTGCGAAGGCTGCGGAAATCAGTAAAACAGCAGTCATCTACGTCCATGGCAATTCCCAACGCAACAGCAGCGCAGACTGGGGTCTTTTTTCATGGAGCGCGGAGCTTACGTCTGCTCTTGTTTTCGCCATCATTCAGGCGAGTGAACCAGCAATCACTTCACGAGGTTCGGTGACGCGTCCAGCTAGCGGAGATAAATTCGTAGCTCTTTTTATGAGTGTTCAATGCGCAGATACATCTAATATTTAGCTCAATCGTTGTTTTGTGCGCTGTAGTTGCACCTGGTTGCGCAGAAAACTGTGCAAGGGAGTCGAGCTTTGCACTACTCAAAACTGCGTCGACAAGTGGCGCGAGTATTCGCAAAACTCCAGAGTCTGACATCTATATTTGGTCAATCGAATAAAATCCAAATAGTATTTATATCACGTATAGTAAAGAAAAAGGGGCATATTTGTCATGAGCAAACTGACCTACACAATATTTTTCAAGAATTGAAACAAGACTTGTGCAAATGCCTTTCTTTTTTCTTTAAATAGAGTGGAATAGGTTTGAATAGTAGCGGGATTAGACTTTTGGTCGAATGCGAGTGATAGCCTGTAAAACATGTCAAGTTTTAAAATTTAATATACTCAGATCATATAAGTTGGTATAACAAGCTTTTATACTGAAAAAAATCAGTTGGTGTAGGGGCACTGTTGTAGAAGGCATAGCACCCCTTCACTGTAACGAACAGTGAAACAACCTTTACAGGGTGTTACATGCGGACTATTATGCACTTATTTATTCGTTTCAAATACGAAATTTTCAATTATTTAAATTCAATTTGAAGCGAATTCAAAAAGTGCATCATTCAATTGATTATTCAAAGCATTCGAATATTTGTACAAGCCTAGTGAAATGTATAACTAGTTCACCTTTCTTTTGAAACTAATTGTTCTCTTTTTAGAAAAAAATCTCTTGCTGTTTAATCCTCCATCTATTATTGAGCCTTCTCTCTACATACCATAATTTTCCTGCATGCTTTACTGGTATTGTGAAATGTATAACTAGTTTACTTTTGTTTTAAAACTAACTGTAGTTCTCTTTATTGGAAACATTGTTTTATTTGTTGAAAATTATCTTTACCTTTGTTTAAACACATTATTGAATCTCTTGCTCTTTGTTTGGAAAAGGATCTTGACTTTTTCATACCAGCAATTGGAGCTAGCCATACACCAAAGGCCCAACCCCGTGCATGACTTGGGAGGAGCTTGTGCTTCGGCCCAGAGTCATGACAGTGCCATGTAAATGTAATGTACCCGAAGGAGCCTTCGTAATGCATGTGGTATTGCATGGTACAATCTTAGAATCGCACCATGTGTTAGAACCTGTGAATTTTACAACAGGTGGGGGGTTTAAAGCTAGCCACTGTGTGCATCTGTGCATGTGTTTCATCACGAATAAGTAATGGTTAACTCACTAATTCACAAAAAGAATTATGATGTAGCGGGCACTTCAAAACTTCACTTGCTGTAGGCATTGTAGGACAGTCTGAAGCAGCCAATATTGCACACCCTTATCTTCCTTTCCATACAGCACAATTGAAGGTGATATACACGGTGCCCGATCATGGTATTGCGTTCTACCCTCGAAGGCGAAGTGTGACCATCGTCCAAGTTTTTCTGCTGCTTTGTTTTTATACTGCTATGAACATTTTTTTGTTCATAGATGACTCTAAGCATAAGTTTTCTGAATGAATCGGCAAAGGTCTTCAAAAATTGAGAGAATGCAGTCAGACCCTGGGCACTTATGAATGGGGCGCAGTGGTCAATTGATCT